CAGAAGGATCTTCTGGCATATGCCAACTTACGCCATCTCTGGCGTAGACGTGATATCCGGCTGGCTGTCGACCAAAGAGGATGTGTACTGCCCACTACTTCCCTCTGTCCTCCCTTATGGTTGTGAGCGAGACATGGCCATTGAAAAATGAAGATACGAAAATGCTAGCTATCTTTGGCCATAGGTGTCTGCATTCTATCTCCAGTGTTATAATAAGTTATATAATAAGGCGAACAATACTGAAGTTAAGCATCGCTCGAGTGCTGAGTAGGGAGGGGAAATCGGCGAGGTTGTGAAGTCACACCGGTTGAGATGGTTAGGACATGTGTTACTCATGTACGCCAATGCATCGCCTTACTCGACGGTCAATGTTAGCTGACATAGGATATATCATGTTGAAAAAGAGACAGTGGTGGTCAAACTAAAACATGGCTTCATCAGTCAATGAAATCCATAACAGTTAGGTAAAGCTAGCCATGTAGGCAGATGTATACTTCGTGACTGGTTGGGGTTCTCGGGACGGTGAAAACCAATGGTTGGATACAATTGGTGATATGGCTCAAAATCGTCGTTGTCAATGGTGCAGATGCATTCAGTATTTGTGATTTAAAATATCCAATAAAATTGTATTGTTCTTCCCTATTACTATACTTTTCGCCTCATATTTCTGTTTAGTTTCATTCTCTCTTTTGAATCTCTTTGCCCTCTTCTCTTTCTTTGTGTTCTATATGGAGGGAGTGTGTCAACTCGAACTGCTGCACATCTGTTCAAAGTTCTACGTTGAAACGAGTAAGTCAGTCAGAACTAAACCAGTACTCACACAGCGAGTCGGGGATAAATTACCTATGATACCTTCACCAATGTTCATCTATGCGTTCAATGCTCCTGTGGAGCTAGTTGAGACCATTACTCATGCGCGCGCATGGACATCTACCGGTAAAGCTGGTTATAAGTACAAACAAGTGCATAAATGACACGATCCTATTTCACTTGAAGGAGAGTATATATCCAGTTAGACTGGCTCAGGCGTTCTTGGTAATTTCCCGTGTTCCCGTAGTTTGCCATATCTCCTGAGGTTCAATCTTAGTGAAGCGTTGACAGTGCTAGAGGATTGTGCATGCCACTTGTTCCTATTATAGTTAAATATTCGCTTAAAGTTAGTTTACTTGAGACAAAAGTGTGATGATTAGATGACAGAATGCGTACGTATGAAATTTGGATTTTTTGTGATGTGGACTAGTAGTTAGCACGTGATTCGGGGCTTGATGTGGACACTGAGGAAAATTTAGTTGGCACTGCAGACACGCTGAACTAGGAACTTTTGATGTACAGACTTGTGCAGCGTGTACTATTGACAAAATCTTGCGTTTGAAGTACTAGTGACGTCTTCTTGAGCATTAGAGCGATGGCTTCGGTTACAAAAACGAGAAATGAATATCCTTGTGAAACACTATAGAAAGCATGAAGTGAAGACAAAAGAAGCAGAATACGAATAACTTCTGCACATTGAAATTTCACTGTAAACATTTTATATATGTCATCACTATACGTTATTTTAACCTCGCCTAGATTACTAGGTCACTAGTATTCCAGCCGGTCCCAAGCCCGGATAAAGAGGGAGGGTTGGGGCGTGGTGCTAGCAACTCCACCCCCAAAACTTAACCAAATTGCTACTAAAACTTCAACGCACAAATATATTAAAAATTCTAAAAATACAAACAATAACCTTACTTTTCGCTGGAATCGGGGAAGAGAAATGACGCAGGCTGGTGAAAGCCTTCGGGAAGCCAGTCAGCCGATGTGCCTTCTTTCGATGAAAGCAAAACTAAGGATGGCGACTTGGAATATTCGTACAATGTACGGAACTGGAAAGGCTGCCCAGGTAGCCGCAGAAATGAGGAAATATAAAGTGGAAGTGTTGGGAATCTGCGAGAGCAGATGGAACGGATGCGGAAGATGCCAACTAACAACTGGAGAGACAATAATCTACTCCGGTTACCCAGAGGACAATCACGAACACACCGAGGGAGTAACCATCATGATGTCATCAACAGCGGCTAAAGCTCTCATGCAGTGGGTACCAATCTCCTCCAGGATAATGACAGCCAGGTTCAACTCAAAAGGAAGGAAGGTTACAATCATTCAATGCTATGCGCCTACAAACGTCTCAGAAAAAGAGAAGGAGGATTTCTACAGTCAACTACAAACAGTAATGGACAACGTCCCAAATGGCGATATCAAAATCCTGATGGGTGATATGAATGCGAAACTGGGAGGAGACAATACAGGAAGAGAACTCACCATGGGTCGCGAGGCCCTCGGTGAAATGAACGAAAATGGTGAACTCTTCTCAGACTTCTGCGCCTTCAATGATTTGGTGATTGGTGGCAGTGTGTTCAAACACAAGGATATACACAAGGCAACATGGATTTCACCAGATGGACACACCAAGAACCAGATAGACTTCATTTCAATCTCAAGGAAGTGGAGACGGAGCCTACTGGACACAAGATCGAGGAGAGGAGCAGATGTGGGTTCAGACCACTACCTAGTACAAGGAACTTTCAAGTTGAAGCTGAAAGCCTCGAGGATACCTGGGGATAGGCCACAATGCAAGTTCAACACGCAAAAACTAAAAAAAACACAATCACAATATATGAACCTCCAGTTCTGCTTGTTGTGGGTTGTTCGGGACTGCTTTTCAGCTTGACAGACTACTTCGGGCCTATAGTTTTATCAAGGTAAGCTCTATTTAAACTATTTTCTCTATTCATAGGATGTTCACAAATCCCCCAAGCTACGAAGATAATTGGTGTTATTGGAACTTTTGTAGACGCCTGGTTCATATGCGTCACGTACTGATAAACTTCTGTATTTTCGTACATCGAGTTCAATATCGAAATTCACTTCTACACTTCCTGACGAGTTCATCTCTTCTGTGCATCGTTGGTTTTGTCGGATTGCATATTAGTGATTTACTTTTGTTTCATTTCTTGATTCTAACTTGCTTCATCGCTCCAAAGCTACAGCCTAAGGTAATACTAAAGGTAAGACTTCCTACAATTTATTTATTTACTAAGATACTCAAAAACAGTTAGACGATGTGAAGACACTTGAGGTCCACTGAAAACGATGATGGATTTTTAGTTGTGAAGTATAAATAAATATCCCAAGATTACCTTATTTATGCATCATCCTCAGTTATCTTATGAAATTTGCAGACAAAAGTAATCAATGTGCTATTTGATGTCTTGTGAATATAAACTTTCGACTTAGTGTGTGCATGACGGTCACGTTTGAAGTACGCTGTAGTAAGCTAAACATGATAAGAGAACTGTTGTGTCACATTTACGATCGATGAGGAGGGTTTGTATAAAACTCAGGGGCATCTGTAGTGAAGTGACTCACAGCCTGGCATTGCGAGGAAATCATCCGCTAATGATTAGATTTTACTAATACTTTATGCTCATGATAATAGGCAATAAATTCTGCTCGAAACCTTATGAGTATATAAACAACATCGTATCGACGTGTCATACCATATACAACTATTCTGTACGGAGTTGCAAACCACAGTTCCGCTCCTCACTGATGACTACTAAATGCAGTTTCAGCTAGCGGAACACCACTACTAGCTTCTCTAAAACACGGTTTGATCACTACGGAAAAGTGTTCTCATGACATGTGCATATCAGTTCCCATTCTCTTTTGACCATAGCTCTCACGCATTCGCCTAGAGTGAATTTTTATCCCAAAGGCCAATAACTTTACTTTACATGTGGAAACTTTTTAGTCACCTCTAGGACGATCCGATAACGATGAATGGATATGTTTCTTGATTAGCACTGTCTCCAGACACGCGAGAGAGGTGGAATCTCACAAAAAAGGTGATAGTATCCCACACACTTTGTTATTGTTCAATTATTTTAACGACTGTTTATCTCGCATAAGTGGTATATTATCATTTCCCAGGCATTTTGTTATTGTTCAATTATCTTAACGACTGTTTATCTCACATAAGTGGTATATCATCATTCCCACGCATTTTGTTGACTATTACGACCAATTATTTCAAATACTGTTAGCTGTCTGTATTGGTTGTAAAAATGTATAAATACCATTTCCTAAATAAGTTTCGTCGTCGTCGTAGTTGTTGTACTACAATACAGTCACAGACCAGACTTTGTCTTTTGATATTTGCGTGGTTCACTGAATCGGAAGGTACCAGAAGCAGATAGGCATATTAGTCAGGCGCAGACAGAACAAGCCGACTACGTCCTCAGTTAATATCCCCTACAGTTATAACAAAAGGATTATTTTGTAACGGGTTATAGATACATGACACTTCCAAATACTAGTGTCCATGTCCATAAACACCAAGGTCTGATTGCATTAGCTTTTCTTCTTTAAAGGAATCTTTGTGTCACGAAGTGATTTAGTAGATGTAACCTTCGTCCTACAGAAGTCGATCTCTCGGATCCACTGTCTAGTCCAATCAGGTAGAAGCGATGGTGGGGTGAGGAAACCACTCTCACGACAGCCATAGATGGCTAAACAATTAGTGACTGCCGGTAATAAGCAGTGTCAAATCAAAAACCAGCGATAAACACTTAACTGTACTTTTACTTTAATTTTACAGATGATCGCTTGCTGTCTTTGGTTCCCCATAGTTTTCCTTCAATCCTGCATCTCAAAGTTTCGGCCAAGAATCCCGAAATTCACTATTTGGACGAAGAATCAAACCTCACTGAAGAAGAATACATAATGAACAATCCCTGCATAACCAAACTCGCGATTTATGCTGCGTTTACTGCTATTTTATTCAGCATATCATTGCAACTACCTAGAGTTTCCGTCCCTGTTAGACACTTTTTATACCCGTCTTTTCTTTACTAATATCACGCCAGTGGCACAATGTATTCTGTTATTTAATATAAAACCATTACTACTCATTAATCGATACTCTTTAAATACAAAAAGGATTTTTGAAGAACCAGAGGTAAACCAAAGAAATAAACTTTATTGACATCGCTAACTAGTCAGTCGTATAAGTAAACAAAGAAAGGTGTACAAGGAAAATAAAATAAAGCAAGAAGAATAAAAATACAAGACGATATTATACGTATAAACATTTCTACAAATGTATACACGAGATGACTGTTGGTCTCCGGACTAGTCTGCAAGACCTCGGATGATTCAACGCCTTCCTTGTCGGCGACGTACCGTCTGGTCAGATCGACCTAAAAAGGTTAAACATATGTTAAAGTTCATTGCTAAATAACAATAAGGATACAGTTCATTTAAGCCGAGAATTTCTGCAACGTCAAGTAGGGAGTACTTTGAAGACAGTTCACGTGAATGAGACGGGTAGTAAATTACCATGGCTTTAATGTGGATTGGTACCCACTGTACATGCCTAGCCCGCGTGAACAAAAGGACTCTTTAGAAACACTAGTCGACCGTGCTGATATACTTTTGTAAGATTTATACGTATATGAAATGAAACTGAAGTTACTGGAGTAGTGAGAGATTAGAATGGCAACAATTAACATTGTTTCGACAACAACACAGGAACCACCAGGCTGGAATATGTTAAATACTCTAGTTTTGGACTAACAGTTGTTCCATTACTTTATAAATTTAGTAAAAACTATCACTACATTCAGATGAATGTAGTTGAGTTCAGCGTGACAATATGATCAGAATACTTGATTTAAAATTTAAACTGCACATTATTCCTCACAGCCAAAAGTGAATTTCAACTAAATTACCTTTCTTCGCTTGAGACTTATCATTGATCAGTGCTAAATATTCATTCTCCACTACACTGCTGTCAGCATTATTTTCGACCAACTTCGAAGACTGTTTGGTAGGCTGACGACGATGAGCCTTTGAAGTGAACCAGTGCCACGCGCCAATGAGTACTGCAATACTGAGAGCAATCACCAGAACAACGAGGAATATTAACTGTGTGTCTACGCCCTCTTCAATCTCATAAAGCTACATGAAATTGTTATGAATGCAAAACCACGCACTTACATTAATAGTCTGATTAAATAACTTATGGGCATAATAAATGTTATTGTTATCGTGATAGTAAACAACCACAGAAAGATCGAATGATCGACCAGCTAACTCAACTGCTGGCCTGAACCTGTAATAAAGAGAAGCCTGGATCGAGTTAAGCTAGGAAAATTCAACAAACCTCCTGACCGGGTTCCAAAGTTTTATGGAGACGCTGCTTCGTAAAGTTTTGTATGTGGTAGTCATAGTACATGGGATAGTGAAGAGCACCTTCGATGAAATCCAGTGTGAAATGTTGTTGGCTGTTAGCAGGATTAGTATAGGCTAGAGACGCTACGATAGATGCAACTTTCCCAACAGGTAAGTTTATTTCGCGCCGTCCAGAGTAGAGACCGTAGGGAGGTTTACTGAAAGCTACCAAAGCATTGATTGCAGGCGATCCCTTGTATGCATCATTTTCACTTCCTACAGCTGCCAAGGGTAGTGTGGAGTCCTCTTCCGACGAAACGGTTGCATCATCAGCCAAGGATCTAGGTACTAATGATAACAAATGAATATTATCAATAGATGAGGTCGAAATATAGAAAATCACGAAAGAAATACATTAGCTAACTATAGGATAGTAAGTGTTACGCGTTTTTAGTGCAAGAAATTAAACAAGTTTGAAGTTACTCATGCCAAAGGATGACTGACTCACTTGTCTTTTGGACTCCTTAAACAGACACACACACACACGGTCTTCTCACGAGGTTATTATACACTCAACTTTTCCATTTCGAACACTACGAATGTTCTTCACTTAGATCAGAGATATGTTTGAATATTACGGAGGAACGGACTGATTTGTCAGCGTAAACCTTTGCACACAAGTACATCAGTTAGATTCACTACATTTCAGAACAACGAAGGTAAGCATAGGGAAAGAATAAATGCAATGAAAGCTTAATTTCATACAGTAAGCTGAGGATTCAGTGTGTGAAGAAGAAGACAAAGGCATTTGCCCTCGCGATTGAGAACTACTTTAAGCTATATCATCAAGAGCTTATATCTATTGATGGACACCAATCGGATAGTTCACACCTCCCTATGTGGCTGGTTCAAACCAACAGTCAGAGATTTCATAGATGAGTCTGACCACCGCTGACTCTTTTCTAACATTATCCTGACCAATATTAGGACTGGTTGCTGATTATTATTATTATTTATTATTGTTTCCTTTAATTCCTAGAGGAACATAGGGCTTCAGCCGTGCGTCTCCATTGCGTTCGATTCTCTGCTAGTTTTCACCTGGCTCCAAGTTTGCCCACGCTTTCATCTTCTCTTCACATGACCTCCTCCAAGTCGACCTTGCACTGACGACCAACTCGCCGCTTCCCCTTCGGGTTCCTCTCGAGCAATGGCTTGTCTAGTGATGTCACCTGATGGTTTCCTCAGAGTATGGCCAATCCATGTCCATTTCTTCCTGCCTATTTGTTTCACAATCGGCTCCTGGTTGGTTTGCTCTCAGAGATCCCTTTGGCTGATCTTTTCTGGCCAGCCATCTGATCTTGAGTATTGAGCGAAGACAACTAGCTGTTGATGAAGGTCTGTAGTTTGTTTGAGATGCTCTTTATGACGCACCAAGTCTCTGATCCATATAGTGGACGCTTAGACTACACATCCACGTATGGAGTTCTCTAGATTTTAAGATATACACTCCAAATCAACTGGTAACAAGTCAAACTCTAAGTTGTCGAAGTTGATCTAGGTCACATTGACCATTACATTTATAACGAAGTCAAATAAAAACAGTGAAATTCAGCATCGCTGACGAACACCACCAGTTGTCATTTGAGATGGCAAATCTTTGAAAGGTTTCTCACGGCTACATGAGTTTGAGTATAGTATATATTTTGCGACAGTCTTTTCCACAGCACTCCTCGAATGATGAAGTTAAATGATGTTTTGAGGTAAAGAAGTTTATGAAGTACTGGACGCCATGCATTTATTCACGAACCTCTGGAAGGTTTAAGGTATGATCAATGCAGCAGTTTATTATAAAGTGAATGTATGATGAAGTTAAGGAAGAGATTTGGAACAGAATTAAAGAGAAGCCTAATAACGAAACAGACATAGGTCATTTCTTAATATTTCTCCTCCTAAGCACATCTGTGTGCGAATTACTAGAAATGTACTAATTGCACACACACTACACAATACAGATTTTTTTTATTTTTTTTTTTGATTTACAGCTTGATTCCACACCGTATTTTCAGTACAAGTGTGGAATTTTCAGCATGGATATCGGTAGCCCAAATTCAGGCCGACCATAGATATCGGGTGTGCGCCGGCAGGGGATCGAACCCCGGACCATGTGCATGGTCGGCGAGAGTCCTAACCACTGTGCCACCGACGCACAGATAAATCACATTATTGTTGTTGGAATGAGAATTTTACGTGAGTTATCTCTTGCTTCACCAATGTATCTTCGTCCCAAACTAAAGCAAAGATATCTGTAAAATTAAAAGAATTCATTGGGATTCAGGACTTTTCTTTGGTTGCTAACAGCCTAAAAATCACGTTATAAACAAATGTTTAAACATTCAGTCGTTAGACACTCAATAGAGACGCGATATAGATAGATCTGTCATACATTCAAAGCAATCAGGATACCCAGAATACTTGTTTACTTCGTCTAATTGTTGCTATTACTATCAAGTGATTTCACCTTTAACAGTGCACACAAAGTGCGGTTGACACTGCTTTCCACTGGTGATGAGCTTTGTGTTCGGCTAGGCCTCAGTTGTTACCTGGTTTGCCTGAACTCATCATAATGGATTTAAGTCTGCCCAAACTTCTTTACGGGACAATGTACTTTTATTCACCAAATTCTCACTTTGGAACATACTAAGTACAAATTAACTGATTATCGGACTACTTTATTAGTAACTTCCTCGTCTTCACGCCCTCTGCTTCATAGACGTGCTAAGACCTGCCAAATATCCTTCAAATTAAAGTGACTTAAAAATATTAAAAATACTAACAATTATAACGAATTGCGATATGTTGTTCCTATCTGAAGGTAAGCTGTACGATAAAACCAACCTTTTAATCTCGTAAATTTCTTTGTTTTTACTTTATTTAAGCTAACAAAGCATTCATAAAAACAGATGATTAAACCAAAAACGTGTCACTATTGCATATAGCCGGGAGGAGGTATTTGAATGCAGACTGTTGAAAATTAACAAAATTTCGGAGATCGTCTCCATACTAGTTCTCATTGTACCCACGTTTCTACATACAAAAGCAACATGGGCTGGTGAATCTATATCGGTAATTTAATATAACAAATTTCTGACAGAATACTTTATCAAGCTGATGTTGGCTAAAATTTTGACTTGGCAGAGATCAGGATCGTTATGATTTCCTACACATGTGGACAATAGATAAATTATTTGCATAACGGTAAAACACGTAGCTAACAGCTATAATCCTACAGACATTATTCATATGATTAGATACATTGCATACAAGTATCTAATTCGCTGACGGGTTTCATGTCCGTGTATTAGGTAACAATCAAGGTGGGTTTCCTAAAAGTGACTACCTGGAATGAATTATCTGGTCTGCTATGATATGTATTTCCAACATCAAAAATAACTACTAACCTATCATAGAGACACTAAAAAATTCCAGGTATGACAGAAATATCGCTTATTGAAAAATTGTTTTCATTTCTAGCTTGAAATAAGCATAGCTATTTATAATGAATACATTACACTAAGCTTTATTCGCATGTAAGCTTCACTTTTTGGCGAAAACTAGGGACTCACCAATAGCGCTGATAAAAACCAACAGGACACCCAGGGAATACATCATGTTATAACGTCACTAGTTTGTGACGCTCAAAACCTTATTGATAAATTAAAACAAAACAAAAAATTTATACCTAGGTAAAAGTGATATAATTTAAGTAATTTTCATCTGTATTTATTTATTAGATAGCATTAGTTCAGCTGATATTTTTGGCGCCCAACACAAAAGTGCATTAATCGAGGATGTCGTACGCATATCTCTTCAAGTACATTATCATAGGTGATACAGGTAAGTGACAACGTTTAAAACGCATCAAAATGAAATAATTGTTATTGAAAAAGCTTTTATTTCAAGTTCAACTGATATTTCTTCACGACAATTATGACACTTCCTTATGTTTATGTAGATTTCACCGTTATTCCTGTGTTGTCCTGTCATAGTGAGACTATGAATGAATCTCCGGCAACTTAGATTAAAGAAGCAAATACTGCCATAAATTGACAGCGTCTTAGGGCTTAGGACATATCGCAACATTATCTGAAAGTCTCGGGATGTTACTCCTCCCTGAAATCCAAAGTTTGTCTGGCTTCCAAGTTGGCAGTCACCACACTGTTTGTTTCGAAGTGTCCCTGATAGTGAAGATACGGAATCTCGATCTGGTTCATTAATTGTTATTATCAAGTCTACTCAACATAGGATATTCGTGTCCTTCATGACACCCTTTAGAATATATATTCTACTATGTTGTTGATGATGAATGTAACACGTGACTCCGTACTAATTATTTAAACTTCATTATCTCTTCTCGAATGATGAACATATCTCTCGGAGAACCACAATGATATTCGGACAAATCAGTATGCCAAAAAGTATTTATGCTATTTTCGAATTGTTGAGTTCACTGAAAAATATGGAAAGCAGTTCATTTTTTAAAGAACTCCAACTTTAAACGCTGTAATGAATTCTCCTCTAAAGTAAGGTTTTCATTGGTAGTTCACATGAGCAGTGTCTTTTTCTGAAGTTAACGGTAACTTGATTGTCCTACCGTTATCAACTTAGTGGGTCGGTTACAATAACGATTGTATTATGCACTATTTAATGATGTAAAATGAAGTAAATCTAATTTATGGAAAACCTTCGAATAGGAATGGTAGTTAGTGTAGTTAACGAATTTTCTTGATTAAAGAATAGTACTAAATTACATAAAGTTAGTTTGAGATGGCACTAACTCGGTAATAATTATTGGCGATATTAAATGTATTAGTAGGGTATCACTGATTCAAAGTGTATTTTCAACGTTGGACTTTTCGCAGAAGTTTAGCTGAATTTGACACTTTAGAAAAGGATACAAAATACAAGATGTGTACGAGAGCAAACATGAATATTTTTAGTCTTAAGGACGATTCGGACTCAATCCTTCTTTGAGCAATGTCAGAAAAAGTCGTTAACCACTGACTCTTAGTTCTAACTAAATGGTCTCTGTTTCCTTTCGTGGCTAAGGCTCAGCCGATGATTTCACTGGTTATGGCTGTTTTGGTCTCCTAACTACTCACCTTTTCCTAAACATATTCTCACTATGATGATATCACGCATCAAAAAAGACAACTCGGTCTTAGTTTGATATTTTTTCTTGTTACATTAGTCAACTAAGCTTCTCAACCTCATCCGTGGACTTTCCTTCTTTGCTTAAGACTCTGTTTCCTTCATTATTAGTGATTGTGTTGTGAAACAAAGTGGCTAGGTAACTATAGGTACGTGTGCTTAACAATCTCTAGTCTTTTCAACAGTATAAACATAGATCGTCCCGAAATCCATCAGTCATAATTCGTAGCCTATGACTCAGTATGCACGTCTCATCTCAGAAATTCACTTTGTAACTTTGAGGGTACTGAAGTACTCAAATCATATTACTATATGTGAAACAAAAGTGTTGAGAAAATTTATGGTGTTCTGAACCCTTTGATCAGTCATACGTTTGACGTATCCTTCATATCTATCAAATGCCAGGTGGTGCAATGGGACTGATCTGTATCAGAATCGAGCATTAATCAGTTCTAGGAGCAACTCTATCTTAGCTCTCACGTAGTCGCTTAAATTCAAACAACATAGTAATAATGGATAATATATATTTAATCAGCCTTTCGTTGTCACCAGAGTTTATCCTCAAATTCCAATAAAAGATAGATAATTGAAGTTAAAATAATGAATAGTTTGTTGAACTGGTCCTCATGTAATTCTCTTAACAGAATCTTTCACTTGTGGTTACAACACAAATAACCGAGTTATTGTAATCAACAATTCATCCTCCTCAAAATGAGTCTCTTGAAGGTAAAATGTCAAGTTATGTTGTTTTGTTATCCTCCAAATTTGAAGCAGTCATTTGAACGTTGATAAAAATCGGAGTATCAGTAGAGCATCGTATTCATATCAAGCACAACTACCGTGTAGTTGAATTCTGTCCAACCTCTTACTGTCTGTAATTTGTGTTTCCTTTTATTTAATAGAAACAGTTTGTTGTGTAACTGTTAGGAATTTTATTTTTAAGAGATTCCCCAGAAAGGAATTGTCAGTATTTTAAAAGCCCTACACAAAAAATCTCAAGTTGGTCGAGGACATGCAGTCAATTATTACCGCTGCTCCAAACCAGCGTGGGTCAAGTTTTTAATTTTGTATTTGTACTTCTCTCTTAGGAGCATTCCATAGACCTCTGATGGAGTTGTGGTAATATAAATCATTTCCCCGACTAGATACGTTTGCTTCCGAGTATACAGACTATTTTTTCTAACTGCAATAATATATAGACATTTAATCAAGTAGTGGTTTGCTTGCATATATAATTAGCGACTATTGGTAACATTACTCAAAATTTTTCTTAGTGGTGCAGATGTATTCACTCTTCGTAATTTGCTAGATCCACTCAGTCGTTATTATTCTCCACATAATTCTTTCTCCTACGTTTCCATTCATTATAGTCCCTTCAAATTTATTTTTTGTCTTTGCCTTTGTGTGGTATATATGGTGTAGCAACTGGAACCGCTGCACTTTTCTCCGTTAAGTCATACTTTCAGAACTCAGTCTACTTATACGTATTACATGCTGTCATGCCATTCTAATCCAAGGCACTTTTGCAAGATCGACAACCAGTTGTCCGACTCACTCTTGTAGGTAGACTGTTAGAAGTAGTGTGTTGATGAAAGCGTAACATATGACAACCTGACGTCATATATCAAAAATCAAAACGCAAACATCAATATCGGCCTCGTCTAACATCTGGATGTTTATTTGGTTGTCAGACGTTAGATGTACAGTGCTATCTTGCTCTAGGCCTTCGATATAGCCCATTAATTCTCGAATTCGAATCCCACTTTACCTACTTTAGTGTGGGCAGTTGGGTACTATCACTAACCTTCACACAATAGTCATGTCTTATGGTTCAGATAACTGAGTAATAAATAATTGAGTGGATAGGTACGATGCAGTTCGAACAAATGTTAGGTTTTTAAACGAATGAGTCGTGACTTCACTTGGAATCTGAGATGATAAGTTGGTCAAACTGAAACCTTATATATTGGGAAACGTACTATTCCTCGATATTCATCTGATGCAGAATCTTAATATACTTAATTAAGTATATTAAGCATTGTAATGTGCGTTGGTAGCATAGCGGTTAGGATGCTCGCCGACCATGCACATGGTTCGGGGTTCGATCTCCGGCCGACGCACTGCTTTACCTAGATAAGCCAGAAATAATTCTGGTGAAGAGGAAAAGTTGGGCATGGGGCTAGCAACCTCATCCTGTAAAATAAACACTGCTACAGAAACTTCAAGCGACGAGCTTGAAGCCCTATGTTCCACTGGGGAACGTGAAGGAAAAAAAAGCATTGTAATAACAAATTTTATCCTACCTACCAAAAAAGTTACTCTTGTTACTCTGTCGAGTAACCATAAAAAACCAAGTGACTGACGAAATCATTAAGATATTAAAAACTATTAAAGTTATAATTTGTAATAAATTCTGTTAAGAAGAAATGTATTTGCACCACTGAACACCACTATAGCATTTATGCTCAAAATTTGACGTTTAAATTAATTGAATTACAGAATTTTACGGAAAATTAGGAAGTCAGGAGAAAGTGTAAGACAGTGAAAGCGAGGTTCATTAATACTATAGATGTATCCCATCTTAAAGGTTAAGCTGTGTATGTCAAGTTGTTAATTGAAATTTAGTGAAATGTAATCAAAGAATGACAATGTATAACTTTTACAAAGGAACCGTAATGATCGAAAATCGAAGAGAAAAGGAGAATGGCGCTCGTGACATGTGTTTCGCAGGCCTAGCCATCGCCTTCCTTGACGGTCAATGTTAGCTGACGTAGGGTCAGGTTGGAAAAGAGCCACTGGTGGTCAAACCAAAACATGGCTTTATCAGTCAGTGAAGTCCACAACAGTTAGGTTAAGCTAGCCACTTAGGGAGGTGTAGACTGGTTGGGGTTCTCGGGACGGTGATATGTCTCAAAATCGTCGTTGTCAATGGCTCAGATGCATCCACTCATTGTGACTTATAACATTCAATAAAACTTTATGGTTCTTCGATATCACTATTCTTTTTGTCTCATATCTCTGTTTACTGTCTCTATTTTGCATTTCGTTTTACTTTTTTCTGTTGCTCTGTGTGCTACATGTAGTGTGGCGACTCGAACTGCTGCACATCGGTGCAAAGTTCTATGTTGAAACCAGTCAGTCAGTTAAAGAGGAAGGGAATAATTAAGTGGGAAATAATGAGTGTTAAACGGCTTTGGGCGACTACAAAATGTGAATGCATCTGCACCACTGGGAACGACTGCCACTTATGTCATCAGTCTCAAACCATTGATTCTTAACGTCTCGAGGACCCAACCAAAATAGTTTACACCTCCTTACGTGTCTGGCTAAAAACTGTCAAAGACTTCATAAACCAATGACAGGTTCTGATTTAACCATCCCTAACTATTACCTAACATAAATCTGTCACACAACATAATGTTTGAAGTGATATTATGGGCAATAAATTGTGATCGAAGCATCATCAGTAAATAATACTGTTTATCACT